ATGCAGATTCATAAGTGACTATAACTGCACACATACATGCTTCACAATCTTTGGTGTGATGCAGATTACCAGACATCGCAAACCTTGATGAACCAGGGCCCATGGGAAGACTGGCTTTGTGGTCTGCAGGATCAAATTACCATGTCTTCCTTTCCTCTCTTTCTCTCATTTCCTAAGGAAGGCTGCTGATGGTTTCCATGATGTCTGATTGGGTGGACAACAATTTCTTCTCCCCCAGAAACAGGTTTCAAATAACAATTTTAGGTATCTTTATTTAGGAGGACAAATTTAGGCATATTTGCCCTACTTATTGACAGTCTTGATGAGGTTAACACTAGAACAATGACCCAGTACTAAAGAAACAGTGAAAGGTGCAGATCATAGTTGTTTCTAGCCAAAGCATAATTTGAATGGATATTTTAATTTAGCCTCTTAAAAGTAGCGCTTTCCAAGCACAAATCTCACCAAGTTTTCTTTAGCAAGATTGATGGAAAGAAAGGGGAGGGATTCCGATAGTTTTTTAAAGAACAAAACCTTTGATACATACTGTAGTCCCTCTAAATATAACTTATCTTTAGAGATTTAACAGAATCAGAAGACAAATAATACCCCAGACCTGATGTGTAGTTAGCTCGTTGTGAGGTGAGGGACCTGCTTGTCCAGCTGAACCTATCTGAACTTCCTAGAGTCCTCACCTCACACAGCTGAACGGAAGTGCTTGGAGTTGCTGAGCATCAGCACGTGGAGGGTCCTGGCTTCTTCAGTCCTACTCTAGTCAAAACGGGGTTTAGCAAGTTAAGTCAGTGCTGTAGTTAAAATCTGGTATCCCCTGCCTAATCCTTGGTCTTCTGTGCCTGCACTGACACAGGGAAACATCTAATGCGCTATTTTAAAATGCATCACTGTTTCCCCAAGTGTACGTGCCTCCTGAGTCACTAGCTACTTAAAGATGTTTGGCTTGCTTTACAGGATCCACATTCACTTTACTGAGACTGTGAATGGCATTTAATAGTTCCCTGATGAATTTGTGTCTGATCTTCTATGAGAAGGCAGCTTCAAATAGTTGCGAGTGATGGAATTTGGAGCAGAGAGCTGTGTCATATCCCCCCCACTGTGCATTTAATTTTAAACCTCTTAACTTCTGTCAGCTGTACCTCTCTAACACGTTTTTAACATTCTAGTTTTCTCAGACTTAACCACAGTGATCCAGTGTCTCTAACGTTAAAAGTTTTAGAGCATCTGCTATCCACCCTTGCTCTGTGAGGGGGGAAAAAAACAAGTTGCGAGTGCACTAAGTGACATGTTTAGCTAGATTTATTATAGCAAATTTAGTTCTTAGTGTAATATTTAATTACACTAATTTAAAATATGAACATATTCAGTATATATGTGTGCATATTCATTCACCATGTTATAGAAAGAGTCTTTTTTTATATAAATATTGGGCAGAACAGAACACTCAAATAGTAATCATTTTTATTTCAGTCTATCTGTGATTCTTTTAGCAAATACGGCTTTCATGACCCTTCTCAGAGGACAGTATAAGTGCCATAAGAAGATAATTGCATTCAGAGCATGTCTTCACACATTCTCCTTGAAATCTGAAATGGGGTCTCTGGCTAAATCTGATCAGATTGTCCCAAAGTGCTTCACCTGGTTCACTACTTCATTCAGTAGTGAAAAGTGGAATACCATTGCAGATAAATCAATTAGCTGGCTGAGGAAGGAACAGTGTACATGTATCCTCCTTTATGAACCATCTGAGCTTTTCTGCTGATCTTCCAGAAGGAGAAGATCCGTTCTCCTCTCCTTCTCAAATCTTGCTAAAAACCTGATAGTAAAAACCTTGAATTATTAGCCTGTTTCCCCACTCACCAGGCTATTAATTATGGTGGGTGTGTTTGTAGCCCTTATTCTGTAGAATTACAGAGTTTAAAGCAGTCTAATCCAACCTCTGTTCAGTGCAGAAAATCTACTGTGACAAGGTCCCTGAGAGGTGGTCCTTTTGGTAGCCATGTGAAGTTTTATCTGGTTTACTAGTTGCCTGGATTCCCATCACGTGCTGAGCCAAAGCCAAAGAAAACACAAGGTGGCTTAGAGCCACGGATGAACTTCACCCACTTTATTTAGGGTCTCTTCCTCCCATCAGCCAGCGTATGGCTTCTGTTTTTCCAGAAATCCTGTTCACCCTCACTGGAGGGATTCAGATGGCCCTAGGCGTGCACACAAACAGAGAAAGTCTGGGTTACTGTGTACGTTGTATGATTTCATACTATCAGGAATGCCACGTTGCACTGAGATGAGAGTTTAGCGTCAGAAGCTGGTTTCCAAAGACGTTTCAGTTGTGAAGATTTTGAGATCTTGCCTGGAACGCTGGAAAACGAGGCTCCGGTCCGCTGCGACAGTGCCGTGTGTCAAAATACATTGCATCAGTGGCAGTGTGGATGCAGAGCTGTTCTCGCTTCAGAAGGTAGCTAGCTGTACAGAAATCATCCAGGACCTTGCTGATAATGTGTTGCAACAGCAGATGGTGCTGTCCTTCTTGGTTTCTAGTTACTAAAGGTTTTAATGCCACATCCACATAGCAAGATAAAAACCACGCCAGAAGAATGCTAACTACTGGAGCACTTTCAGGAAGTGGCCGCTTTCAATCCATTACTGTATTGGGTAGGACTCCAGAGCAGAGTGCACTGTCTGCGTCTCTAGGCAGTCAGTACGAAGGAAGTTTTAAAACTATGCCAAACAAGATGTACTCATTAAGTTTACAATCGGGGGGGGGGGGCGGGTGTTGGTTGGTCGCTTGGAATGGAACATAAGTACTGCTTGATTGAGTTGACATCTATAGATGAACACGGTTGGGGAAACTTGACTCTTACTAAGCTAATGGTCATGTTCAGAAAAATGTTTCAACAAAACTGTTCCATAGACCGATTTTGCCTTTTGATTTGACTTTAGTTTAAATAAAATATGTATACCAAGGGTACACAGTATAGTGTATTTTAAATAATATAAATATATTTTAATTTTTATTAATGAAGTACAACAAAAAAGTGATCGTATAATGAAGAAATACATACATAACAGTGATTAAAAAACTAAAAGGTGAGGAAACAAACAGAAGAAGAATAAAAAGTTCCATATAATATTAATATACTTTTAATTCAGTCCTTAAAATTAAGTTTATAGAAACACATTGCTCCATCTTCTCATTTTTAGAATATAAAGGTATTTCAAAAATCTATGAACAACACATATCTTCAATCCATTCTGTAACAGCAGGAGTGTAGATTTCTTTCCTTCTTTGTGAAACAGTTATCTCTGCTGAACGCCAGAATTCTTCATAAAATATCCAGTACCACGTTTTGAAGGCGTAATCCAGCATCAGACTATTTTTTCCCCAAACCCAAATCAACATACATAATAACTTGGATCCAAAAGGCAGCTCTGATTGGACATGACCAACTCGTACAAGTCAGAGAGCCCTTAAATTTCTTACAAGGCCAGCACAGGAAATGTGATATGCTACACAGTATGGTGTCAGTAACGCTGGTCTGCTTGCAGACCCTCCCCGTGGTACCTACTAGGCTCTCTGACCTTTAACAAGATCCTTTTAATCAAAAGAATAAGAAGAAAAAGAGAGCTGGTGTGCTCCAAGCAATGCCCCAGCTTCATGTTTATGTGCAAGAATGTCTTTTGGTCTCAGACCTCCCACTGGGAGGGTAGAAAACATCCTGCAGGGCTAGTTTGCCTCCTGTTGAATGAAGCCATATGCTTTCAAAATGCCAAATGTATTTGCAGACCAAAAAGGATTGCCAGCTCAGTTATATTACGCCCATGTAGTCATTACGCTGCACAGAGAAAGCCTCCATCCAACCGGCTGTAGAATGGTGGCATTATCCAGTGTTGGCGAATTTCAGTTGGTCTACGTACGTTCCTGGTCCTCTGTTCAGTTAATGCCGTATCTCAAGAGGAAGGGTGTACCTGGCCTGGGAGCCCAGCCAATCCAAAGTGATTCGTCATCTGGATCCCAACATCCCTATTCCTGCTGTTGTCAGTAGAAATTAATATTTTATTTCCACTGAATTCAGTGGGACGTGGTATGACCCTTATGCAGCGATAGATTTTCTGTTGGATCCCTTAAGGAAATATGTTTGAAAGAAGAAAAGAAACTGGTGTCCATTTACTTTGCTGGAACTAGGAGACCTTCCAGGCAACAAAATAGGCAAAGATGCTTTATGAGCATGGTCTTCTGGTTCATAAACAGAAATATTACATGTGGACAGGCAGGCTGTTCATAAATGGGGGGGCTAATCTGGCTGAGAATGATGGAGAGTCCATTTGGTGTCGCCGCTAAAGGCACCAGGCTAGAAATCAGGAGACGGTGAGTTCTAGTCCCTCCTTAAGCACAAAGCCAGCTGGGTGACCTTGGGCTGGTCACTCTCTCTCAGCCCTAGGAGGAAGAAGGTCGTGCTAAGCCACTTCTGAAAACCTTGCCCAGAAAAGCACATGGACATGTCTGTGTAGGCACCAGTGATGATGATGGTGAGGGTGGGGGTGGTGGCAACAGCTACTTGAAAACCGGCTGTGCTTTTACCCTGGGAGGCCACTCATGAAGGAAACCGAACTCCTACATTTCTGTGATTGCATGTAGAGCATGTTGTGCTTGGCAATAAGTTGTGTTACATTCCACAGGGTTAATATATAGCCTGGAACCTGTTTCACAAGTGGAACTTTTTTAACTGACTGACAGGTTCTCCAGTATAGTCCATCTCAAACCTTTGGAAGCAAATGTCTCCCATAAATTAATTCATGATGAAGCTGCAGTTTTGGGTGGTTCTCCAGGAAATACACAGTGTGTCTCCTGTGTGTTTGTTGTATAACCTGCCTCATAGAATATGTATGAAAAGCATGAGGCAGGATGCTTGCTTGTATTAGAAAGAGTGGGTGACTTGCTAAGATATTTAGCCTTTTTACAGAGTAATGATTTTTTCTTTCTTTCTTCTTTCAAGATCCTCACATTAAAGTCTCTGGGAAAAAGGAGAATGTTAAAGAAGCTAAAGAAAAGATCATGTCTGTCTTGGACACAAAAGTAAGTTCAAAATTTAACTACTCATCTTTGGGCTAGAATTCCAGGCTTTAGAGGGTTTTTTTTTTTTTTAATTTCTGAAAGCCTTTTTAGCTATAGAACCTCTCTAAGTTGAATTTGAGGGTTCACAAGAATCAGAGAAGCTATGATATTCTGTCATTAAGCATACAAGGGCAGACATCTTTACCGGAGATGATGAACAGTCTGCTATGGATTTTTAACAGTCAGTTCCCCAAGATTTCAAAAATAAGCAATCCGTCTACAGCCACCCACAATTCTGGGTGTAATCATGGTTTATACAAGCCTCAAATCTAGCCACTTCTGCCACGTTGACACATTTTAAGCGGCACCCAGCCAAGGGGCCTCTAATGTAAGGACTTTGATGTGTGGTTGGTCATTTGCACCTTTGCACCTATTCATGGTGTTGCTTCTGGCCTAGTAGCCGGGCACCAGCTTGTCAAGCATCCTGGCCTGCCAATAATAAGCAAAATAAAGAAGATGCAGTCCAGACTAAACTTTTTGCCATCCCAAATTATGTATCTAAACCCTGAAAAAATGTAGGAAGTTACCTTTTTGGGGGAAAGATATGTTTTCATGGGTTGGTACAGGTAGTCCTCAACTTACAACCATTTGTTTAGCAACTGTTCGAAGGTACAAAGGCACTGAAAAAAGTGACTTACGACCGGTCCATCACAGCATCCCCATGGTCACGTGATCTTGAATAGGGTGCTTGGCAACCGCCGCGCATTTATGATGGCCATTTGTGACTTTCCCAGCCAGCTTCCGACAAGCAAAGTCAATGGGGAAGCTGGCAGGGAAGGTTGCAAGTCGCGATCACATGATGTGTCACTTAACGACCATGGCGATTCGCTTAACAACCATGGCAAAAAAGGTTGCAAAATTGGGTGTGGTCATGCGATGCCTCACTTAATGACTGTACTGCTTAATGATGAATTTTATGGTCCCAATTGTGGTCGTAAGTCAAGGACTACATGCTTGATTTCTGTTTCCCCGAATAGTGGGGCATCCTCTTAAGTCCTCAGCTAATTACTCATCTAACTTCAGGATTCCCAAATTGACACAAGGCCCACGTCCTTGTGCATAGTTGTTAGAAGAGCTCTTACCTGGTCACCTTCCCATCTCAGACTCTGCAAAAGCAGGGCCAGAAAAAATAATTGCCGTTTTAAAAGCAGCAACCCCAGGTCTTGCTGAGTTTCTGTGCAAGATAAATTTTGTAAACCAGCCTATAAACTGTTGTTGTTTTAAGCTTGCATCTTAAGAAAGCTGTTGGAAAGTGACAAAGTCTTTGTTCCAACCCCTGATGGGTAAAGATTGCACCACTAAAATGTTTAAAAACATTTTTTTCAGGATAGAGAATGAATTTCTCAACTCTTTTGCTTGATTTCTAAGCTGGATGTGTATAGATGTTTCATGAGGGATGAAACAATAAATGATTCTGATGCTAAACAACTATTTCTGGATTGGATGCCTCAGACACATAGCTGTGGTGTTTGCTATTACATACAGTCATAATTATTTAAAAAGGCGCACTACCTATGGATTTTCTACCATAATTTTTTTTGCTTGCACATTTGAGATAGAGAGCATGATCGGAGATAAGAATGTTCCCTTTGCTGTGTAAAAAATATTTCCATTCTTAATTTTTTTTTTAAATACTTCACTTCTAACTGCAACTCAGGAAAGGTTATTTAAAATGTACCCTATGAAATCTCACCAGAAAAATGGGTTTAGATCGGATCCCAAAGCTTGAATATCAGCTGTTTCGTGACGTGTGAGACAAGACAACTTGAAATGTCTTCTCTCCTGGGAGAGTGCAATAAAGAATATGCTGACCTTATTTCAGAGCAATCGAGTCACCCTGAAGATGGACGTATCTCATACAGAGCATTCTCATGTGATTGGCAAAGGAGGAAATAATATTAAAAAAGTGATGGAAGAAACAGGCTGCCACATCCATTTTCCAGATTCTAATAGGAACAACCAGGCGGAAAAAAGCAATCAAGTGGGTATTCTCTGAGATTATGTTGAACCCCAAGACCACACACCAAATCCAATGAAGTCAGAATTGTCTCCTAGGACTCGGCCACACTTTTGTGGAAAAGCATTTAACCCGGTTCTCTTGGGATAGCCTCACGTTCACACGGGGTGTGTGTGTGTGTGTGTCTGGAGGAGGAGGAAGAGGTGACATATTGCACGTCTCAAATTGCATGCTTTTGCTAAGGAGAGTCCCCTCTTCCAGGAAGAGGCTTCCTTGGAGTGTTTTTAATTGAGATTAAGCTTTAAGCAGTAAATGCTTATTCCGGGTGTATTGTCGTCATCTTTGCACACTCAAATATTTTGTCAATTTTACATAATGCATGCCTTTTTAGCAGGAGACAGCAACATACTTTTAAAATATTGTATGGAAGGTTCCTGAAATCAAATTGTGTTTCAGTGTGTGGTTTTGACTTTATTTTAACCTTGTTATTCAGTGCATGATAACGCCGGGTGCACCCGTAACGCCGTGTCCCTTAATAAGTCTAATAAATGTGGTAGGTTAGGGTTGCTCGATCTGGGAGTTGTTCTCTCAAATGATTCCTCTCTCTGATGAGCGTCTCTTAGGTGCTAAGTCCTAAGATGTCTATCCTGTGTTTCCTGTAGATTTGTTAAGAGCACTACGTATTATCATCTGTGCGTTTGTTAAGAGCGCGCCCCTATAATCTCAAAACTTGTTTTTAATTTCCTTAACGCTTGTGCATGCTAGGGCAGACTTGACGTGCTCACAGCAACAACTTTTCAGGTTTTTGTAGGCAACCAAACAAGGCCCAAATATACAGAGTTTTTGCTTCTGTGTCACATTGAGATGTAGTAGGCTTTAAGTCTTTTGTGAATCTGTCTGCCATCTTCACTTTTTTTACCTCCTCCCCCCGTGGATGACCCTGGTGTGCAAACAGGCCCTTGAGCGTGAGAAGCTAGAGTTCCAGGAGATGTGTTGATATTTTGTCAAGGATTCACTGTTCTTGCTGCCCCTACTATTATTAGAATTTAACTTTTTGTCTTTAAATTTCCACAGGTGTCTATCGCAGGGCAACCAGCTGGAGTGGAGTCTGCCAGAGTTAGAATACGGGTAATTATGAGATGCTGGCATGAGTGAATGTTACTTTTTAAGAAAGGAAAAGTGGGAAATAACTTGGGGGTTTTTTCCCCTCCAGATGTGTTGTTTATGTGTACTTCAAAGTTTGCAGCTCAGGGAATTTAGCACCCCTGGGGCTGCAACTTTTCTCAGTGTTTTCCTGACTGCTTAGTTCCACTCCAGGGGAATTAATGCTCAGCTACATGTCAGGTGAAGTAGAATGTAAAGGCCTGTTTACACCTACCATCTGCAGTCAAGAGAGATGATACCATAAGCCACCCCATAGAAGAACAAAGCGTCTGTATAGGTTTCCTGTCACTGTGTACCCTACCTGGGGGTTTGAAAGGGTCTCGATAATATTAATGCCAACTCAGTAGGAATACAAGGGGAATGCTAGTCTTGTCCCCAGAGAACGCTCCATGTTGCTAAGAGTCTAGGTGTAAGAGTTGTCCTATTAACCTATAAAGCCCTAACAGCTGAGGACCTCCATGTGCTTTCTTCCATGGAGATCTTCCTCCCGTACTCTGTAGATCTAGGGAAGAGGGCTATTTGGTGGTAGCACCATTCTCTGAAATGCTCTCCCCTCCTAAGCAAAGAACTACCATCCGCTAGTTTGAATCTCATGCTAACCCCCCCATGCCCCGCCCCCCAATGTTGGCACTGGAAAGGCCTGTGAGAGTTAGTTCTCAAGCAGTCAGGCAAGAGCAGCATGGCAGCAAGGACAGATGGAGACAAGCCAAGCGGGGACCAGGTAGCCCATTCATTAGCAGAGGAAATTTAACTGAGACGCTTAGGTTGGGAAAAGCAAACTTCACTTCTTATACGCTGTTAAAAATGGGGAAATCTACCAGCATGCAAATATTTTCATTCTTGCTTCTTCTGAACTGGAATCACTGAATCACTTGCTGAAAATGGTTGGTTTTGGCTTCCTGCTTTTATCAGTCAATCTTACTTTCTGTAGTTCTTGGATTTCTTACGAACTTCCTTCCATGCATCGTTGCTGCCTGTGTGTGAGGCCTGAGACTGCCAAACTCATTAGGGCTATTGCTATATTTGTTCTGCTATTACTGTACTTGGTTGTTCTGCTGAGTTTTTCTCCTTCTCTTTTATTGTCTTTAAATGTCTTTTTAATGATGTAGACCACTGGGGATGCATTGCATGAAGCACAAAATTGAAATCGTCCCTGGTCCTTCCTTTCTGCTCCACCCCTGAATTCCATCAGTGCCAGCTGGGAGCAGAACTCTTGCCCCAGAATTGACAGCCAGGACGTCCTTGCTCTTAATGACAAGTGCGATGCCTGTGCGAGGAGACGTATCTCTCAGGCCCTCTCAGCTTTATGCTCAAGCATGCAGTATATTAATAAACGAGGCATGATTGTATTTATACTGACTGTTTGCTGTGGACTTGTTCTGGTCGCCGTTCTAGGAGCTGCTCCCGCTGGTGTTAATGTTTGAATTACCCATAGCTGGAATCCTTCAGCCGATCCCTGATCCGAGTTCTCCCACGATTCAGCATATATCGCAGACATATAATATTTCAGTGTCCTTTAAACAGCGTTCTCGGACATATGGCGCTACGGTCATCATCAGAGGATCCCAGAGTAATGCTAGTGCCGTGAAGGTAAATTATTGTTCAGGGCTCGATGGTTTTGGGTTTGGGGAGCTGTTTGATGGGGTTGTTTTTCTTGAGTGGGGGGGGGGTAATAAATGGGGCTTTCAGACACTTCAAGCTTCTCCTGGGCAAGAGGGGAGGCGGCTGGTCTCCCAGAGCTTCCTCTCGAGAGCGTGTTTCATGCATAATATAAGCTGCAGTTGAAGGTACTCTCTGGTATAAGTAGAAATCAGAGTTGCTTAGACCACGTGCCTATGTTTAGATTGCAAGATGGGCCTGCTCACAGCTAAATGGGCAGAGCCACATACATTTGGGCAAGAAGGTTGTCGCAATCTGTTTTACCTTGAGCGAGGTTCTGTTTGCTGGCTTGCATTGATCAGAAGATGCTTAGAGAACATGAACATAATGTCCACCCTGCCTAGGCCTGTTAGATTGCGATCTTGCCTTCTGATCTTTCTAGCTTAGCATTGCAGCATTTGGCTAAGCTTCTCTGAGTTACTGGTCTACAAGCAGTGTGTCGTGTAGGTGCCAAGGTGCACATAAATAGGAGACAAATACCTGGGACCAGCGTCAAGCTATAGTTACTACTGTTGGATGGTTTTATCGTTAGAACATGAGCTGTACCGTGCTGGATCGGGCCCCTAGCTCATCTAGGACAGCAGTCTGTTCTCACAGTGGCCAACAGACGGCACGAGGAAGCCTACGAGATGGCCGTCAGAAGCTGTCCCACTCCCATCAAGGCTAAGAGCTGTTGATCTCCATGAGTTTCATGAATAGGTCCAGCCCGTTTTTCAAGACAGCCAAGCCAACACATCTCATGATAATGAATTCCAACATTTAATTATGTGTTGTATAAAAATCTTTCTTGATTCTTTCAGGATTCAACTTCATTCGGTGACCTCTGGTTCTAGCATTTTGGGAAGGATAAAATAGCTTCTCCTGTCCACATCATGCACAATTTTGTACACCTCAGTTATGCAATCATGTAAAAATATAGTTATATATTTTCCCAGCACAGAATAGTGCAGAGCACTAAAAGGAGAGAATTTTTGGATAATAAGTTGCACAGTTCAGTTTTAATTATTTCTGTATGATTATCCATAATGCTTATGCGAATGTATCTTGCATCTATTAACTCCGTCTGTAGTGTTGGATGCTAAACACATTTCAGACTCAATTTGTGGAAAGCAAATTCTCTTTTTTCTTTCATGAAAAATGCCAGATTGCTTTCATTCATACAGAGAGAGCATCTTTCTGTGAACTGTGTATTTATCCTACATTCCTCCTACAAGCATACTTGGGTGTTTACCTAGTGGTTACCAGAGTTTATTCTTGCAGGATAATTTCCTAGAAACAGACTATTCAGCCTACTGGAATGGGCAAAGCATTTTGTTTCAAATCATTTTAAGCATGAAACTTTGCAAAATGGGACATTTCAAAGAACAAGATGCTTTCCACCCCTTCGAATGGCCAGAATCTATAGCAAGGAAGTGAATATAACTTTGCTTCACTTTCTTTTCCTGAACAGGAAGGAACAGCTCTGCTTTTGGAGCATCTGGCGGGGAGCTTGGCTTCTGCGATCCCTGTGAGCACCCAGTTAGATATAGCGGCTCAACATCATCTCTTTATGATGGGTCGAAATGGCAGCAACATCAAGCACATCATGCAGAGAACTGGTGCTCAGATCCATTTCCCTGATCCTAGTAATCCCCAGAAGAAATCCACAGTCTACCTCCAAGGCACTATCGAATCAGTCTGTCTTGCCAGACAATATCTCATGGTAAATATTCTGAAGGGTGGGGCTGTGGGTGTGGCAGCAAATATAGTAGGAACATCTGTCGTTCCTGGGTCACCAGGACCAGGAGCTCCTAGTTCCCACTGAGGATGTACATTTAGGTCTCAGGCCACTTCAGACTAACACCAGTAACTGGGCACTCCTCTCTTACGGGAGAGAATCACCCAGAAAGTAAAGCTTGGCTGAAACTCTTCTACCCACATCATGAAGGATATTTTTTTCCTTGATGAATGGAGCAGGAATCAGGCTCATGAGTTCAAACCCACATTAGCAACCTCAATGTATACTAGCTCTCAGTGAGTATACCTGTAGTATATCTACATTTTCAGATAGCGTGTTACTGTTAAGAGTTAATGACCATGGTTTAGGAAGACTTGATCACTTAGGAGTCCCATTTAATTTAATGGCTTCTATCCTTCCCTCTGAAATCAAGGGGATTTAACCTGCTTCTATTGGCTGGTTCATAACTACGGTGAAAAGAGGCAAATAGTTAAATTACCCACCTTGAGAATGATTATTTAGTTATCTGGTGTAATTTGAAAATACCTTGACACAAAAGTGGAGTCTGGTGGCATTCAGTCCAGAGTTTCCTTGAGTTTTACGTTCTTGGAATTTGAGACTTAAAAGTGCAAAGAAGTTGTTGAGTGTTGAAATCCCATAAACCAGAGATAGTAACCATGAGAGTGCTAGACAGCATCACATAAACTTGTGGCACGTACATGCCTTTGACAGTCACTAACCATCCCGTTCTTTCTTTCAATGCAGCAAGGGAGTGCACATTTTATGGGATGGTAAGACCTGGTTCCCTTTATCTATTCTGTAGTATTTTAATATTCAGATCTAGCACATAATATTCCCTGGGGTCATGGGCTAGGTATTAATAAAAAGCAAGGACTTTAAGTAATGTTCCTAGAGGAAGGTAACAAAGGCATTGGTTTATTTCTGTAGAGACATATTAAAAATTAATTGAAACCAAATCAAAGTTATTTTTATGTTAAGATGAAGGAGCAGGGCGTGATAATTTTAAACATTCAGAAAATCATAATGAAACATTCAAGTGAAAGAATTATTTCACAGTGCTAAGGTCTTTGAGTCAGAAACATCTCATGGCTATTTTTCTTGTTCCTTCTTAGAATTTGTCACTCTCTTGAGTGATCAACACAGGTTTTAGGCACAGGTTTCTCACTGTAACTTTATATATATTCAAACATATTAAAAAATGGCTTCACCTCCCTCAGTCTTGGGCAGCGTTCTCTAGAACAGAGTCTGTTAACTACAGTGAAGAAGGCTGTGTAATAAGTAGCCCTTCCCACTTCAATTCAGGATATTGGATGAAACCCCAGAAAACAGTCAGTGAAAAAACAGCATTTTCACTGTAGAAGATGAAATGGCATAAAAGCCAGTTCTGTACTGTTATAGCTGACTGTTAAAGTCAGATGAAATATAGCCTTTCCAATATTTTACTAAAACATTTTCCAAGAACAGCCTGATTTACATGTCCAGGCACTGATTCTTTTATTGTACAACCTCATCTGAGTTTAATGAAAGGGGGTAGTAAGGTTGGAGATCAGCGGCTTTTTCCATTACTTTCCAACATAGCAGCTTTTCTAAAGTTCCCACCCAACTCCACCTCTACCCCAATCCCCACACACTGCAATGGGCTTGGATTATAGCTTGCAAAATGTTCAAAATTCAGTTGGATTAATATGGATGTTAAAACCATGTATAAATAGAAGAGATTCAATTTGCAATATTTAGTCGGGAGGATTTATTCAGTTACAGGCATAGGAAATGCTAACCATGATTTCATCATTTATAAAAATAGACTACGTTTCAGCTTAGGGTTGCAACATTCCATTTTTATTGGAAATCTGCTTCTGGTGTACCATGTCCAATTCTGGTTGCCACACATTAAGGGCGTACACAAACTTGAACATATCTACAGGAGGTACATTGGAGACTGAAAGATCCAAAGAAGAAAGTGACCATCAACAGAAAGAATCGGATGTGTTCATTCTGAGAAAAAGTTAAGACTAAAGTGGGGCAGAACATCAGTCTTAAAATCTTTGAACAATTCTCAGTTGAAGTAGGTCTGTTCTTGGTTGGTCCAGAGGGCAGAACTGGAACGGAAAGTTAGAAATTGCAAATTTATGGAAAATATGGTTTTTATTATTGAAAGATTTTTTTTTCATTTCGCCATCTGCAATGGGTTGGATTCACTACATAATTCTGTCTTTATGCTTTGCATGTGTATTTCTGTTTCCAGTGCTGAATTGTCTTGTCTTCCTGGCTTTCATAACTTCATTATTGGCTTTTTCTACCTCTTGGAATTTGACTGGATGGTCTACTGCATGATCACTTAGTTGATGGTGATAATATGTCTGTATGCAAATAATTACCTCATAAGGCGTTTGTGTGTGTACCCATTGCTGAAGGAATCAGAAGAGTTATTCCCAGTAGACCTGCAACAACTCTTTTGGTTTCAAAGGGGCTTTTTAGGATTTTCAGTTAACTCTCCCTTCCAAAACTACTACGGGTCATCTGGACAAAAGTTGAACTTTCTAAGTCCTTGGTGATTCAGCAGCACATCCTATCCAGGCTTACCAGTCATTGTGCATCTGCCCGTGTTCTTGAAGTGCTGAGAATTTAGATAGTGAAACATCCTGAGTAACATAGGTGTATTACTCTGTCAGTATGGATATGTCAAGCGACTGAGATTTCTAGGATCTGGAAACCTCTTGCTAAAATGCCACGTGAGTAAAATGCGGGAGAGAGAACATGCTCGTGCTGGGGACGGCGGGCAGGAGGTCCTGTTCAGCTGTGCTTTGCACAAAACATGAAGTGCTTCCTGAACTTTATATTGGATTTTGCATTTGATCTTTCAGGGCTGCCTTCCTCTTGTGCTGATGTTTGACATGAAGGAAGAAATTGACGTAGAACCACACTTTATCACACAGCTGATGGAGCAGCTAGATGTCTTCATCAGTATTAAACCAAAGCCGAAACAGACCAGTAAGGTTGGTAGAGCGGGTTCTAGATTTCCTGGGCCAGGCAACTTTTTAACCTACCCTGCTTGAAAATCAAGCAGGCCTCTTTTTATCTCTTTTTTATAGCAAGAGAGCTATTATGATGAGAGTTCTGGTTTAACTGAGGTGCTGTGAATCCACTGTGTACTTTTATAAAGACTTGTTAGACCATTTACAGCTGAGGAAACCTACAGTTTAGGAGCGCGATGGAATTCCACTCTCTAATCCAAAACCGCTTTCCATTTCAGCTGCTAGTTGACCACCTCTCTCCTGTTCTCCACTTCCCGACTGGCTCAGCCCATTCTGGTGTAATCTTTGAGGAAGGGTTAGGGCTAGGATTTTAGCAGTGCTGCATAATTAATGAACGAGGAAAAGAGAGTGCAATTCCCAGTCTGCTCCCGTGACTTAGTATAATGTCTGCGCTAAACAGGCCATTTCCAGCCTTTGAGACTCCAAGTCATAAAAGTAATAAATAAAATAAAATGACACACAAAAACAAGGAACCAAGGGAGCAGGGGAGGCTAGATATTTCTGAAGTTTTTATATTTAAGCTCTTATCTGAGTTTGCAGCCAGGACCAGTTTCCATCATGTCCCTCCTCCTCTCCTGAGTCACCATGCTTTTATTTCAAGATGATTTTGAATGACCAATTAATAGCCACTGTAACACGGTGTCCTTTTCAGTTCAGGGTAGCTTAAGCTATATCATCAGTATCATACACTTTGATACTTAAAAAAATAACACCAAATGAATCTTAGAGCTTACCTGTGCAGGATCCTTTTTTGGGCTCGGGGGTGGGGAGGGGAATAGTGCTGCATTTCGAAGGTCCCATCTACTTCCTCCATGATGGAGGAAGTTGCCAAAACCAAAGTGGCACCTGGTCCAAGAAAGAGAAGGACTCCTTTCATGTAGAAGTAGCAGCAGGAAGCAAAAGTGATTTATGTCTCACCATTTTAAGTAGCAACCATTGTATATATCTATCACTGGAAAATAAATGTTCTCTTTGTAGGAATAAAATGAGCATTTCCCATATAGAACATAACATTTGTCTGTCTAGGCCTCACTCCCATGGTGCCTTGGGCAGAAACATCTCAAATCTTCTATTTAAAACTGAGTTGCTTGTGGTTATTAAGATTCTGTTAATTTATACTGGCTTTGATTCTTCATCGGTTTTGCTACCTCTGTAAAATAATGTAAGAGAAAGAAAGTACCTCTTTTGTTATTTAATTGATTAATTATGTGCCATCAAGTTGACATCAAATCATAGTGACCACGTAGATAGACCTTCTTCTGGATGATTTGTCCCCCCTTCAGGTCTCCCAGCAGTGTGCTGTAATTGAGTCTTTGCTGCTGGTCATCATCTTCTTCTCTTTCCTTCTAAATTTCCCAGCATTGTGGATTTCTCAAGGTTGTTGGATCTTTACATAATGTGTCCAAAATAGAATAATCTCAGCCTGGTCATTTTTGCCTCGAGTGAGAACTCTGGGTTGATTTATACAATGATCCATCGGTTTCTTTTCTTGGCTATTGAAGGATTCCCAAGAGTCTTCTCCAACACCAAAGTTCAGAAGCGTCAATCCTCTTCCTATCCTGCTTCTTCAAAGACCAGCTTTCATTTCCATAGAGTGTCACAAGGAATACATGGCTTGCATGATTCTGATCTCATAGACGCATCATGACATCCGAATATCTTTTCCAAGACCTCCTTGGCTACTCTGCCAAGTGCTAGTCTTGACTACTTGTTCCTTTACTGTTGATGGTTGATCCTAAAAGTCAGAAGCTATCCACCATTTCAATATCTTCATCATCAATTCTAAGGCTTGTATCTGTTGTCTTTAGTTTGGTCTTCTTAATTTAATTTTAATCCCATTTTTTTCACAATGCTCCTTGACTTTTATTACTAGAGCTTGAAGATCCTTTGCATTATTGACTATCAGAGCAGTGTCATCAACAGGTTATTGATGTTTGTTCCTCTTATCTTGAAACCACACCCATCTCCCAACCCAGCCTCTCTCATTATTTGTTTAGTATTTAGGTTGAATAAGAAAGGGAAGAGTATACAGCCTTGTCTCCCTCCTTTTCCAATCTGGAGCCAGTTCATTTCACCATGTTCCATCCAGACTGTGGCTTGCTGATCTGTGTGTAGGTTTTGTATGAAGGTAATGAGATACTGTACAATTCCCATTTTCCTAAGAACACTCAAGAGTTTAATGTGGTTGACACTTACCAAAGACTTTTCTATAGTCCATGAAGCACATGTTGACTACTTTTGGGTATTCTTTGGTTTTCTCAGTAGGTCATCAGCAATAATATGTCTTGTTCCTTGGTCTTTTCTAAAATCAGCGCGAACATCTGGGCTCTAATTTATGTTGGATGTCCTAAGCATTATTTCAGTATCATGTGAAACTAAGGATATTGTGTGATAGTTTGCGCACTATTAAGTCTCCCACCTTTGGTATTGGCATGAATGTTATTTAACAGGAACAAGCATGTCTGGTTACAACAATGTAATATCCATTCTGTTGAGGGTTTTTTTTTAAAAGATATTTATTAATTAGTAGATGATGTCTTTGAAATGAGTTCATCAGATTATATTTTTAATATCAAGTTAATCCCTATAAAAGAACAAGAAAGTTTGTCTTTGTTGTTGGTCTTGTGCTTCCAAGAAAAACAAAGATGTAGCCAGCATTTTATTATTATGTAATTTTAAGGCTAAGAGAAACACAAGCAAGGAAGAAAATCTGACCAGATGTTTTTCAAAATTCCTTGCAGCACTCATCTTTTTAGACTGGCTGCACACAAGAAGGAAAGGCTTCTCTGACAACTTGACCACAGCCCAAGATGCAGATTTAAATAATGGAACCATCATTTTGGCACCAAGATGAATTAAACCAATTTCTCTTTGTGTGTCAAAACATGCTTTTTCATTGTCACAATTATTGTGGCGATTTGTCTGTGAAGGAAAGTTGGCATAAAATTAAATTGGGGGGGGGGGGAAGTCTCTAGAAAATGAGAAATCCTGTTTCTCTAGTCCTCTATATTGGGCGGGGGCGGGAAGTTTATGCTCTGATATTTTTATTTGACTTGGAAAGCATTGGAGTGAGCTATTGACATAATAAATTTGCAAAGTCTCCATAATGTCCTACAAAATTCTAAACAAGGGCAGGAATCTCTGCTTACAGGTTTGCTGCCTAAAGCAGAGATTTCCAGCTGTTTATGGCCCCAGCTGCACTCAGAAACCCAACAGGTGAGGCAAGCAGGGAACTACGTTTATATCTAAGAGCAGATATTGTGCTTAGTGTGACTCTAAGCAGGGCTGATGCGACGAACAGACTTTTGCCCGAAGGTTAATTTATGTCATCTTTCGAAATCTTACAGAACAGGGACATTGTTTCAATGACAGAGTATTTGGTATTGTAGCTGAGAACCCTAAGCAGACTGCACTGTACCATTCCAGACTTTTTGTGTAAAAAAGTATGTAGTTTAGGAGCCATAGCTACTCCCTTTCTGTTACGACTAGGAGGAGCTTCGGTTTGTAAACAAAACTTGGTTACTCTTGCCAGTTGTCTGGAATTGTTTGAAATGTGTGTTAGACACTCATGGCCATGTTTTCTTTTCACAGTCTGTAATTGTGAAAAGTGTTGAGCGAAATGCCTTAAACATGTATGAAGCACGGAAGTGTCTCCTGGGCCTGGAAAGCAGTGGCGTTGCCGTAGCAACAAACCCGTCCCCCGTCTCTTGCCCGGTCGGCCTCTCTTGTCCTGGCTTGGACATCTTGACCTCAGCTGGCCTCGGACTAACTGGACTTGGTACAATCTACAACCCTTCCTAATATTTTGAAAACCTCTTCAGAGTGAGCTGTATTAACCATGTGCTTTCAAGGTTTGAGGAGTTATTTAAAAAGTAGGCTGAACGATAGCTTGTACATGTAAGGTTATGCTGGGGTGTTGTGTGTGTTTCTTGTACATAAGAAAAGACAATAACAGAAGAAAAGCCTCTGTTTAATTTATGAGGGGAAATGGAAGAAATTAGGGAAGATACGGGAAATAGAAGTCATGTGACGTGAGGATTTTTAGAGGTAGGGAGGTTGTCAGCAACGAGGGAAGAATTGCAGTCATACACGTAAAGATGTCATTCTTAACATGTTAAGCGGCCACGGGATTTCTAAATAAAGCATGCAATGCCTTGGTGACCTGTTTCCAAGGTAGGCCATTGACTGCACGTTTCTGGAGGATAGAGCAGAGAGAGAGCAGAAGGGCTGGGGAGCCCCGTTTGTAGTTAGGGACAGCATCCAAGGAGAGAAGTATGCATCTTGCCCTCTTGCCGTGGACTTCTTTGAATGTTTTCATTGTCCAGTAGAACTCATTTAGTTTTAAATTGGTCTTTAAAAGCATTGGTTGTTCATCTACAGGCATTTAAAATCTCTCTCTCTTTTTTTTTAATTTTTGATTTTTTTGTAGGTCTCTTGGGTCCAACCACTTTATCTGTCAACACATCCACTCCCCCCAACTCCCTCCTAAATGCTCTTAATAGTTCTGTTAGTCCTTTGCAGAGTCCCAGTTCAAGCACGCCAAGTCCAACTCTCTGGGCTTCATCAATCGCTAATACGAGCACCACAGGTTGGTATAAGGTGTATTTGGGGTTTAAATTTTAGGCATTTTACATAGAGAAATCTAGCAGCCTTAAACATGCAGAACAGACGTGTGACCAGGACATTAAAATGATGCCTCTGTTTTAAGATGCCGTTATTGTAAAATGGGATCATCTGACTTCTCGTGACTTCTTGATGAGCACAGATTGTGCCTTGGCCATTTCATTTCACTGTTGTTTGTGGTCAAGCACATGCTTTGCATCCAGAAGCCCCCCGGTTCAGTCCTTGGCATTTCAAGGAAACAAACATAAAAAAGGCTGTGCCAGAGTCCTAGGAGAGAAGCTGCCAGCCAGAAAAAAGTAGTGCTGGATTAGTTGGGCCATCTTCTGTGCAATCTTGCTCGGCTGGATTACAAATTAACGATCCGTTTAGGCCTTTAGATATCTTCAGCGTCAGCAGAAACGAGGCAGTGTAATGAGACAGAACTTCCAACTTTTTCTTCCAGGTTTCTCTGCTATTCCTCACCTGATGATGCCACCTACTGCACAAGCTACATTAACCAGTATATTGTTGTCAGGAGTGCCAAACTATAGTCAGAACACACCATCTCCCCCTCCTGGCTTAACTCCTGTTGATATTCATGTTAATGGCATGCAAGTGGAAAACAAGAAAAACCCAGCGTCGTTAAATGGTCATGTAAAGGTAAACAAGGAGCCTCAGGCTATAACCCTAAGCGTGTTTCCAGTCCATGAAGCAAAGTTTTCTTCTGAGTACTCTTTGCGCAGTACTGTGTAATCAGCTTGTATCAAAATGGAAAAGTAAAGCTTATTTTTAATTGAGCTTAAATACTGGTGCACTTTACTTGGCAACAGTACAAAAATGGTTTGCTGCTACCTTCTTATGGGATGTTACTTTTTCAGCGGAACTTAACCAGGATAATCTTTTGTTAGGCAGTTGGTATATCATAAAGTGTAACTTAGAAATTCTGGCTTCTCATGCTATGAAAACTATTATGCCATTTCATTAGTGCAGCTTTCTTTCCATGGGGCAGAGACTATCCAAAATCATAGAAAGTTATAGAAACGACGTTTCCATTAATTAACAAAATTGGTATCCTGAAATTTCATTTTTCACTGATGCCAGAGCTAATGCCAACACAACTAAACAATAAGGAATTATTCAACGAAGCCTATAAAGCAATATTTAATATCATAAGCACGGTTTCAAGTATATGGTTTAACGTTCTGCAAACCCAGGACGGCAATCCTCTCCCGAGGCACACAGCAGAGCCAGGAGCCAAAAGCTTATTTAAACACTCCCCCCACCCCACCCCCACTGAAGGTCAGTGTGCATTTCTGCAGTCTGCCTAATTTTGGGTCCAACCAATCTGGCAGAAAGAAGAGCTTCCTCATGGACAGACTTGGTATAATTGTTAGAAGAAGACTCAAATGGAAGCAATGGGATCAAAGCGTTCTAGGAATTAAAGTCATTCTTCAAGATTCCTTTCACTTCATCTCTCCCCGTCTAGATAACAAAGTGGGCGTGGATCAGTTGCCACATCAGTGTGTGAGACTCTCAGTGGTCCCTGTAAAGCCCACAGAGGCACAGTTGGTGGGTTGCAGTCGTAAAAGTCAAGTGGAAGCGCCCACCTTGATGAGTTGCCAATACGTATGCTTAATACTGATGATTCAGTTCTTTGAGGAAATGTGAAATGCTGCATTCTAGCACCCTCATTTTTTAAAAAAATATTTTGTTCCTAGGTGTCCACAGACAGGTGGGGTAGGAATAAATTATTATATCCCCTATTCATAATTTTTTGCAGGGTTAAAGAGGTATTAAGTAATTTGCTGATTAATGTCCTTAATGGACTTTTTTTTTTTTCTTCAAAGTCTAAGATGATTAAACATGGGTTAAATATACTGTTCCAGACCTCAACTATGAAGTATCCTGCACTGTCTGCCACAGCTCTTGGTGAAAATGTATTAAGTGCAAACCACAGCGATCCTTCCCGGACGATTGGTAGCCATAATGCCTCTGAACAAGTGACGGCCAAGACAAATACCAGCGAAGGTATAACCAAAACTACCGTGGGGTGCTCTATGTTGTGTCATCTCCACACTGTAGGAGGACAGCACACCCCCTTGGGCTAGAAGTTTCATGTTAAGCAGAATGGTGAATCATTTCAAACACCAGCTGAGTATTTCTGTTCTAAATGTTGAAATGTACCCAGGACCGTAAGGCAGGGCGGCCTGTGTAGATCAGTCAAATGTTGAAACGATGCTCAAGTTCAAATGATTAAAACATCCCTAAAATGTCTGTTGCTGTGCATTGTCCAAAAGAATTTATTGGTGGTTTGGTTCAGAATAACAGCAAACCATACAAATGTGACATCAGGCTTAAAAGTGCTCAGCTGGTGAACAGAGGTGGTTTAATGCTTCAAGGGGCTTTCTTCTAAACTAACTTCTCACAACAGAAGAGAATCTCTGTAGCTCAGGGTTGATCTGTGGAGTCCATGGTTTTCTCTGAGCTTGGTGGTTTTCTTGCAGATGTTTCATTACTCGACTAGGTAACATCTTCCAGTCAGGTAGCAGAACATCTGGAAGAAAACAACCAAGCTCAGATGACTTCTCACATGCAGAAAAGCGAGAAACTCAAGATTAGAACAAACCAAGGAACAGAAGCTTTAAATTTCTTCCCTTTGGACAACAAAACGTGGAATCTGGAGGTTCAGATGAACAGCATACAGTGTTTTTCACCTTTGAACTGGGCCAGTAACACTGCCAAATAAGGGAAATCGTATGCAGAGGGTTGCATTTTATTTTTGTTAATTCCATTTATAAACAATGGAGGTAGTCTTTCATAGCAAAACCGTTGTCCATGTGTTTTCATACCTGTCCAAATATACATTACATTTTTCTTAAATATCTGATTCTTTGCCTGTTCCTATGTTATTAAAGCCTAGTTATTTCAGTCCTAGAAAATACGTACATCCTAGGATGTAGCTGAAAAGAAGAGAATAATTCCTAAGCCCATTTAGACATGACAATTTGCCTTTTGGTGAAGTGGGAGCTTTGTGATGGCATTCTCCAGATTGAAGCGAATACGTGTAACTCAGGGTTGAGCTGTGGAGTCCTTGGGGTTCTCTGAGCTTGGTTGTTTTCTTGCAAACAGTTCATTACCCGGCTAGGTAACATCTTCAGTGGCTGAAGATGCACTGAAGATGTTACCTAGCCAGGTAATGAAATGTTTGCAAGAAAACAATCAAGCTCAGAGAACCCCAAGGACTCCACAATTCTCCAAATTCCACGTGTGCTTACTAGCTGAAGACCTCTGACTTGCATCATCCTCGCTGGTAGTCATTCTTTCATAGATGCTAATTCGCTGCCATTGGTTCTTTGTAGGTTGCAATGATGCTTTTGTGGAAGTGGGTATGCCCAGAAGTCCTTCACACTCCGCAAACGCCAGTGATCTTAAGCAGATGATGAGCACCTCTAAGCAATCCTGTGCAAAGAGGCAGACGGTGGAATTATTGCAAGGCACCAAAAATTCTCATTTACAGTATGTAATATTTATAAATAGAAGATTGTGCAAAGTGCAGAGAATCTGTATGGTGGTTGTGTTAATGAAAAACACTATTCATAACACATCCCTGGAGGGAGCTTCCTATCCAACATACACAGCGCAATAGCCATGATCTTTTATCATCTTTTGATGATTTTCATCTGGCTCATGCACTTTTCCCCATCATAACTCTGCTACTTGTACAGTATTAATATTACTCTTTCATCAGTAGTAACGTCCCCACGTTGTAAACATGGTTTGCTGGGCTGTGAGAATAATACTGGCAATGACCTGCCTAAAGTGTAATGAGGTGTCAACTTTTTTGATTTATCATTAGTCGCTCTTGCTCCCTCTGAGAAAATTGGTGACATATTTCGGCAAAGAATTCAGCTATTTGTAAGCATCATTATTTTTCTTTCCAAATTCCTCCTGATGTGGGTCATGCTTCATAGTGGAGAGTCTGTTTGGGAGAGTGCAAGATGTAAAAGATTTCACACTGCGGACTCCAAGGGAGAGTCACACGGGGAGTGCCCGCGTCCTCTTTTCCTCTCTGGGATGGGCTTCCCGTTGCTTATTGAATGGCTGCGGCGGTGGGACAGCAGGTATCCAGAACGACAATTCACCCAGCGGCATTCCCAGCTCTCTTCGTATCCCAAGGCAGACAAACAAGCCGGTCAAAAGAGCGGAAGAGACCGTAGCCGTGGCTCCCAGGGCTTACTTCACAACATAAAATCAAACTGTGTTTCAGAGAGCGTCTTCCCTCTTTACTGGTTATGGCAGCATTAACAGCCGACCAAAGGCGAGAAGAATCAGCTTCTCGGTTGGGTTAGGTTGGAAGGACATGGGTTTGCCCCTTGGCTTGCGAGGGGATTCTGGGGAGAAGAGCGAAAGTCCTTAGGGTTGCTCCCCTCCCTGCGTGTGGGAATCAAGCTGCGGACAAGACAACTGTAATCTTGCTGCCCTGTTTTTTGTTTAAAAAAAGTTACTTAAGAGAGATCCAAGATGATCTGTAGTCCATGGAATGAAGGTAGCCATGATCTTTTAAACAGAATTTATTTCTAATGAAAGTCCTATCTGTTAGGTTTTGTTTGTTTTTGTTTTAAAATTAGGCTAGGAAACAAACTCTTTTTGGTCCATACAATTCTACGGATTATTTCTCAGTAGCATTTAGAAGTTTTAGATCTAGGAGAGGAAGTGTTGGTTTCTGGAAGTAGGTCAAGCTTCAACCACACTTTGGTATGATTTTTCTGCAATGTTGCTGACTAAAGCAAACATTAGCAACTTGCTTGTGATGACATCACTGAAAAACTGAGCAAAAGTTCTGGAGAAACAAGCATTGCTTCAGAATTGTGCTGTTTGTCTTGTCCTTCAATAAGCCATTCACGTAAAACCTAGTTGCATTGCTTCTGCGTGCTGCGCGTGCTTTAAAAACATATTCCATCTCTTTTTTAAAATTATATTAAAATGTGAAGATTAAAAACTAATACAAAGTAATATAAAGTAAGAAAGAAAAAAGAAATCAAAGAGAAGGCTAAAAGCACAAGAAAGAAAGAAAAAGTAAAAAAAAATAGAAAAAGAAGAAAAGGTTTAAAGAAGTGGCTTCTGATCTTCTGGACAGCAGTTATAAGTCCAATTATAAATTTGCTTCTTTCTCAAACGTTACAGGATGACCTCCTTCTTTCTGTAGTCTGTCCTGTCTAACCATTGTGGGAGGAAAAATGTTAGTGGCCTGAAACTTATTTTAATATAGATATATATTTTTAATCACATTTAATAATAAAAGCAAGGGCTAGCTTGGAGAATATATATTTTTAATCACATTTAATAATAAAAGCAAGGGCTAGCTTGGAGAATATATATTTTTAATCACATTTAATAATAAAAGCAAGGGCTAGCTTGGAGATGACCTTTGGGGCAATGACAGGAAATAAGTAAAACTTGCAAAACCAGAGCAAACTGTTAAATAAGCAAACTCGTTGATGGGAACAGACGTGACAAGGACAAAGGGAACAGGGAAGTGTGGTAAAATTAGCTCTGGGGACGTTATGATTCAATTGAAAATCCTGAGGGTCGTGATTGTGGTTTGCGATTTTTAAGGATAGAAAGGATTGCAACTAAAGGGTCGGGACCACTTGGTCAAGCTGTCTCAGCTGACAGCTTGCTCTTTCTGGTCCTCGTTGCAATGTGCGTCTAAGTACCTTGTATGCTATTGATTAAATTTTACTTGCTTATTGAACTAACTTTTAATAAAGCTTTCAGAACTTTGAAGTGACTTATGTTCTGGTGTGTCTGTCTCCCGTGTTTAACGAGGATTTTCCCCTGACACCATCGAAACCATAAATCTCCCGTCCCATCTCTCTCTAAAACGAAAACGTGTGTTTTTGTAGCCCCGGGGAGAGGTTGCTCTCGGATCCTGAGCTGAGCGCTTCAGAGGCCACGGTGGCTGATAAGAAGGCACCTGGGAGCGAACGAGCGGCCGAGAGGGCGGCCGCAGCACAGCAGAATTCGGAAAGAGCACACCTCGCCCCGCAGTCGACGTACGTGAACATGCAGGTAAGGCCCTCTCCGAGGATGGGTTTCAACTCCAGGAAACGCCGCCGGGAGCTCTGCCTTCCGCAGTCAGCGATGTCTCGCCTCTCGTAAATAGAACGAGTCGGGCTGGGCAGCGCTTTGGGTTCAGTTATGTACTGGGGGAGGGGGCGCACTTGCACAAGTACAAGCTCGTGCACCAACTGTGCACCCTTCTCGTGCCTGCTGGACTTAGTGAGAGCCACCCACTCCAAAGTCTGAAAGCCCATCTCAGTGTCTACAGTCGTGAGGCTTCCCGTAAAAGGTTACCAGAAAGAGCACTTGGGGCGACAGGTGGAAGGTGGAGGGAGGTTGTAAGATGCCTGGACTGAAGGCTCTCCTGGGCACAGTTTTAGGGGCTGCTGTTGACCCTGAACGTCCTCAGGCCAGGCGATCCCTGGGACTGCCTCTCCCACTATGAATCTCCCGGGTTACCCATTTCAGCAGCAGGGCGCCTGGAGATGCCCTGCTGCCAGATGTTACCCAGGCGTCAAGAAGATGGTGAAAAGCACATCTCTTCTGCCAAACTTCTAATTGCGAATGACTTGAACAACTGGCTTTAAATGTATTGTGCCGTGGTTGATACTTCATTTTTTTTTTTAAATTGTGGCAAGCTACCTTTCAATGTTACAACACACAGAAAGGTAGGGTAAATTCAGTGCTAAGCAAATAGTATAAAATTCAATTCAAACTGAAAGGAAAGAGTAAAAGAAAATAGGTAGAATCTTTATCAAGCTGAGGCCTGCTCCTTGAATGTAACTTCATGGAGAAGTTTTCCTGGGAACGCTACAGAAGTAGCTTGCCATTGCCTTCTTCCCCATTTTTTTTTAAATTTTCCAATCTAGCCTACAGGCCCTCAGGTTCTCTCAGTCAGGAATTAGATCTGATCCTCCTCCGTTTTTGGAGATCCATCAAGGTTAGCAAGGTGTTGCCACCTAGCTGGGCAAAAGAAAAAGTGATTGCTAAATTCTGCACCATTAAAACCTGACACTCTCCTACCGCTTTTGATATAAATGCAGAAAGAGGTTTTATTCAGAAGTGTTCAAGCAGCCTTTTGCAGAACTAACATAAAATGTGTGGTTCAGATCTTACACAGTGAGATTGAGCATAATATGAGGGTGGAGAGTGGTGGGCTGGCATTCCAGAAACATTTCAGTGCTTTTCCCCGCATGGTTGCACTTGCAGCTAAGCCTGCGTAACAGCTTGTCTCCCAAAGAAATGGGGTGAACCTGAAGGATATCAAGGCGCGTTGTACAGCAAGATGTGCCGCGTAGGCCTGTTTGATGTTTCTGGAGCAGGACAGAGACAGCACTCTCTGCATTGCTCTAGTACAAACGGCATCAGAGATTTATGCGTTGCTCTTCCTGGTGGGGCTGTCATCTGAACATTCCCAACCCTTTGGAAATGGATTGGTGATGCTCCCGGCTTTTTCCTCAGTGGTAATTACGGCCCTAATTAGCTAGTTTTAAATGGAAGCTTTAAGTATATCAAATGTTCATGGGATTGCTGGCACATTGTTGGGTGGTGCTCAGTGTTCCCCCGAGACAAAGTCATGGACCCTGATCAAAATCTTTGTGGTGGCTTGTGGGGCAGAGCACTGGCGTGACATTTAGCAAGAGCAGTGATTAAGCGGCATTCTTGGGGTTTCATTTTTAGGCGTTTGACTACGAACAGAAGAAGCTACTAGCAACCAAAGGTATGTGGGACAACTGTCACTTGTAGCATGTATCTGTTTGTAAGCAGAGTGATGAAGGGGGGTTTGCTTCCCCGCCCCTGGCAATCCGTTCCCTTCTGCCCTCAGTTTGGGGCTGTGTTCATTGCTGAAATGGAGGAACTGTAGCTTAGACAACATGTTTTGCAATCCAACTTTTCTTTGTTTCTTTTCTTTCCCTTTAAAGGCTTCTGGAGTTACATGTTCTGAGCAAACAGGAGCAATTTTTAACTTCTTGACTGTGGTGCCCTTTTTATGAGGCAGGTGATCAGAATAGCTGGACCGTTCCTGTTTCTGTTTGCGTTTTCTATTCTCAAAAGGCACAGGACTTAGGACTTACCACCTGAGTTTCTCTTGTGTCAAGCAGTGCATATCCTTGTTTCGTGGCACTTGGGATGGTTGAAAGCTTTATGCGTCCGTATTCACCATCCACAAAGACAAACAGGGTTTCGGGCCAGCCGTATTTCTCCATTCAGCTGGCACAGTCAGTATATGTGTACATCAGCATACTGTGTGTATCTTTGACTCGTTGGAAAGACATAGGAAAGAATCATGGGAGTCATAGAAAGATGAGGTGGGTGTGCGAGAAAACGATGCACCCTGGAGTGTGGGGTTCCGACCGCCAATTGTGCACTCTTCCAAGGCTCTCAACCCACTGGGGTCTCGCAGAGGCCATCATGATTCAAGAATGGCATGATGTACGTCATGCTGCTAGTATACAAATTTAATGGTTGTGTAATTCAGCTGGCAGAGATTGCATCAGTGCAATGACAGCATGACCCACCTGATGTCATTCTGGTGTCATTGTGGCTTCTAACAGGTATCTCAAGTACTGTCATTAGAGTTTTTGTTTCTTTTCTGATCCATCAAATGCAAGTATGTAGCCTCCATTTTTGGGGGTGCAGCAAGTTGCAGGTTTTATTTACTTCGTTTTTGAAAAGGGTGTTTTTTTTGGTCCAGCATATGAATTCTCCTGTATTTATAACACACAGTTTTATCCTATAGTTATCCCCTTGTCAACTAGCAGAACCTTTCCCACCAAACATTTGCTTGGGACCCTACTCATGCTTCTGGACTTGGTCTCTACTTCTCACCTGAAACTGAGATGGGAAAGAAAGCAAATAGCTTCCAATCTATCTCTAGCCTTGAAAACTTAACAATTTATTCTAAATGCTAGTTTTTCATATAATATATAAAGACAATTCTTTGCTTAATATGTCATTTTTTGTTCTATTGATCTATCATATTTGTGTATTTCTTAACGTTGTATCTCTGTTTTCTTTTTGCTTCTGTCTTTTAATTATGTACCTGGAACTTCAATAAAACTTCATTAAATGGAGATGGGAAAGAAAGCGCCAAAAGACCCCTCACTTTCCCTTTTTCTAGGCAGCTGCTCAGCCTTGCCACATTCTTTGTTTGGAAAGCTTTACCACTTTAAAAAAAGTTTTTTTCCTACTTCTGAAGATTTCACATTTCCCTCTTTGGCCTCCTGAAACTTCAGAACTACTGTTCTGGCTCTGTAAAATTATTGGTATATATCCTTGAAACTTTTCTCTTAATGTAATTGATAGGAATTAATTTAGTTTGTGTGAGTGAATGTGTGTGCAATGTGTACATGTGTAGCAATGTATATACATGCACCCAAGGCCACATCACATACTGATATAATCTTCTCTTGCCACATGCTGAGAAATATAAACTGAAATATGAAGTGACCCTAGCAAGTTTAAAATATTTGGAAAGAGCTAAAAGTTGAGAGCAGGAAATTTTCTGGATCTGATGAACCACTTGCATAAAGAGTTTTGGCTGCTTTTTATCGAAAAAAAGAGACAATACCGATGCTTATAGATATGCTTTCTGTCACCTTTAAGCTATGTTAAAAAAGCCTGTTGTTACGGAAGTGCGAACACCAACAAACACTTGGAGTGGGCTGGGCTTCTCCAAATCAATGCCAGCAGAAACAATTAAGGAATTGAGAAGGGCAAACCACGTAGCCTACAAACCGTCTATGTCGACAACTTATGAGGTATGTGCAACTGCAGTGTGTGTCCTGTATGAAGAAGAAATTGGAGTTTGAGGATGTCACGTCTGACTTTTGCTGCTGGGACTTCCAAGGTCTCTTTGGCAAAGTGCCTTACGTGACTCCTCCAGGCCTCTGTTAAACTGTGGGGCCTATGTTAACTTTTATTTGTCTGTTTTAAGAAACAATGTGGAAAGAATCTAGGGAAGGCCTAGAAAAACAGGGATATGTGGATAGAGGAGAACGAAAGGAGCTTGCTGGATCCATTCAAACAGACATTTGGAGCTGTTCTCTGTGACCATTCACATTCTCCGATGTAGGTGCTGCTAATCTCTTGGGGCTTTGTAGCAGGTGTCTGGTAAAATCCTTGCAATGTGGGGTTTTCCTTGTAGCCTGAAGAGATGACAGGGATGGCTTTGTCATTCAGATGGAAGCCCAGCTTGCCAGGTAAACTGCCTTTATGGCTTTCGGCTCTTTGAGGCGTGCAAATAAAATGATTTGAATATGGAAAAGATTCAAGGCCTGGTGATTTCTAAAGAGGAAGAAGAACACCACGGGATTGGGGGGTACATCCCCATGGAGAACTGACACTGCTAGGCCTGTGCTTCTGGCAGTCAGAGGAGATGATAGAAAGCCCCTGAGAGGTGACGTTTCTCTCGGAAGGGCGGAGGGGAGCGTATACTTATCCAGCTATAGTCCTTGGCCACAGCTTTGAGTGAGGGGTAGGGTGTCTCCTGCTTCACAGCTGAGGAACTTCTTCTTCATCTCCCTTCTGGGGGGATCGCCCCCTCTCAACGCTGCAAAACTCTCTTGCTGGCAGTGGCAGTAGAGCTGTTCTGCCAAGACCAAATGATCCTGGGTTTGGTCGCCCTTTGACCTGCGACAGGGTGGACAGGAAAGGTGGTTCCTCTGTGAAGCCACGGCAGAAGGAACAGGGTGGTGCCTTATCTTTAACCTAACAGACTTGTAGAAGAACCCCTCCTGTGAGGAATCCCTTCTCCTTGCCAGTTCCTAACATTGCATTAAATGGGATCTAGGTAAACCCTCTGTATACCTTTCAGAATGGGAAACAAATGATAGAGCAGACTTTTTGTGGGGAGGGGAGAGGCAACCTTAGTTCAGTGTACATTGTTTCATCCATAAATATTTTAGTTTCATGTATTCTTCCAGCTATTTTACATTTGTCTTCTTTTCCCTTAGGAGTTTATTAAGAGACTACATAGAGAGAGAGAAAGAGAGGGAGGGAGGGAGAGAGAGAGAGAGAGTATGCGTGCGCACAAGAGCTATATCTGAGTCCTTTGGCTCTAGCCCAGGATCAAACCACAGCCTGAGTTCTTTGCTCTGTAAGCGATTTCTTCAGAGACCCAGGCATTCTTTGTTTTTGCTACGCTTGAAACATTTGGGAATAATAATAATAATAATAATAATAATAATAATTAAAAAACTATGGATTGCTTTGTTTTTCCTGTTTGCATTAGGTTGTTTTCAGAATGTCTGCTACTCTTAGAAAATAACTTGTGTCAGAGTACTTAGCAACACTGGTTTCAAAAATGATTAGTCTGAATTGTTTAAAAGTTGGGACAACCTAATAGGATACAGTGTGCTACAGATTAAAATTAACTGAGCAAAAGTACTGTTGCTTTGGTAATGTTGAGATTTGCAAATAATTCTTCATTTGTGCATGTCTTAAAGTACTTAAGGCTTCTCTGATCAGAGGAATGTTGTCCACCAATTCAAGCTTTTGGCAGTTGATCCCTTGGTCCCTTATTTTGTCATCCCTTGTATTAAGCGCAAGTCTTTCTGTCGATGGCTCTCAGTTTCTCAGAGCCTTTGGGGTTGGCCTTATGCTCAGACAGTCTTAACTCGTTAGAAAATTAAAGTCTGATACGTTGCTCGGTGTCTCTGGCACTGTGTTTGTTTTTCTGGCCTGGGAAAAACAGTGAGAGATGAACCTGAGTTTTATTCTTCCTCGGGCTTACCTTGAGCATTTAAACAGACGTTTCCTTCTATGGAGCTCCTGTTTTTGCAGTAGACTGTAATGGGCTCGTGGAGGAAGGGCGCCCCTGCAACCACCCTCTTGTCTTTGGTGACCCCCTCCTATGGATGCCCCGCCCCAAGTGTTCTTGGCGCTGGAAGGAAAGGTCCCGGGGGTCAGATAACCAATACGTGGGCATTGCTGGTCTCCCCTCCTTGGTCTCTGGTTCTCAGATGGAGCATTTTCAGTGATTGAGTTTGATGCAACAATTGAAATGGTCTGGATGCTCCAGGGGATAAGTAATGAGGGTGAAAGGGTGGATTTACAGGCAGCCATATTAGGAGGACATGGGCTCATCTTGAAGTAAGCCTGAAAAGCGTGAATAGAGAGTAGAGATGAATTTACTGAATATGTATCTGCAAGAGAGCACAGGTAAAAGGATACTCGAAGGTTCTGCTTAGTCATAATTAAAGAAACTAACCCCATTCACCTTTCTTGGTCTACAGCATGAATCGGGACGTGGTTAACTTACAGTTTAACCTACTGCAGCAGGATTCCTAATTCACTGAACTGACAAAAAGGACTTCCAAAGCTTAGCTTTCTTCTCAACATCGTTTTATAAACTTACAGCTTTAAGGGGAGGGAGCGGAAAAGCAGCGGGGAGATGACTTGAACCATCCACATCATGTCCTGTAGTATGAGGTGGTATTATCAGGACAGTAGCTATTCTGTGCTTCCTCCCTCCAACTTCCCAGAGCCCATGGAACGGCGGCTCACCTGGGCTCACCTGCGAATGGGTTGCGCCACTGGTTTCGTGTTCTTGGGTAAGCCACGCTGGCATTCTCACCGCGCGTTCCGGTCACACTCCTTCCTGCTGACTGTCTTGCAGGGCCCCTCCATGTCTCTCTCCCGGTCCAACAGCCGGGAACAGCTGGGCAGTGGGAGCGACTCAGATAACTGGAGAGATCACAACGGCATTAGCTCTGCGGCCCCTGCGGACTTCGTGTCTTCCATCGGAAGCCCTAAACGGAAGCAGAAATCAAGTAAGCGTTTACTCCGTTGGTGTGGTCAAGTTTCTAACGCACAGCTAATGGCTTGAATAAAATTTAGGTCCAGGTTAGTTTATGCAAACAAAGGTCAGTTAGTGGCATCAACCTGTAATTGTAAATGATAGAATATTAGGAGAGAAAAATGAAATACTCAGTGACAATAACAGCCCCGCATTGCATTTCTTCCCTCTATTCTGTCCTTGTCTCTTCTGCTTCATACCCAAATGTCAAAATACTATTTCCATGCTCCCCAGCCACATCTCAAGAGATAGAATTGGCTGGGGTGCACAAAGCCAGTGTCCTCCATATTTGTGATGGCATGTAATTTTTGCCTTACTCTCACCAGTATTCTTTGTGTTCTACTTCCATGAAAGCAAAAAGGTAAAAGCTTGATAGTTCAACAGTGGGCAGAAATCCAGATCAGTACTTCACAGGAGTTTGCATGCATTGCAAGTGAAGCAGAGGAATGGGATTCTCCTCTACAGTAAATGCAAATTAACTAGAAACTCAGATTTTTTTCTCTTGAACTTCTAGGTGAGCACTATCTCAGCAGTAGCAACTACATGGATTGCATCTCCTCCCTGATAGGAAGCAATGGCTGTAACCTGAACAGTCTGTTTAAGGGATCTGACCTACCTGAGCTGTTCAGCAAACTGGGTTTGGGCAAATACACAGACATATTCCAGCAACAAGAGGTCAGTGTTTGGAAAAGGCTTTGCTGTTGTTGTTCCTTGTAGACTGTTTTGATTGCTTCCAGACTAAATTGCTCCCATCTGCTGCACTTTCATTGATAATTCTGTCAAGACCACATCTTCATTCCTTGGCTGCAGGAGTAACTAGCTTCAGACCTCAGTGTTTTCAAAACGCTGTGTTCGGAGAAACAATTTGACATCCCCAAACCAATTTCCGTTGCTCGTAATCATACCTGAAAACCAGCTCTCTGGAGGAATGGGAGTCTGATCTGCAGCATGGATGCCATCCAGAAGCCCGTGCCTCACTGCTTGGGGAATGCTAATAAGAGCAGGAAGGCTGGTGACCTAGATAGCGTGTAAAATCCTGGCCATCAAAAAGTGGTCAGGAAGAGATGCAGGAAAAGTACGGAATTTCCTGTGAATCTTCAGGCTGTGTGTTAATTCACTCAGTTGGATACAGACAAAGTTGTGTCGGTACTCCTTGTTGAGTGCTAGAGATGTCGCTGAAACATTCTATTCATATGCATACACACATGCACACATGTGATTCACAAGTGTGTGTGTGTGTGTGTGTCAATTCCTGCTCGTGTGTGCTTGCAGTTGCATGTGCACACAAACACACACACCAGAGGACAACGCCCACCCACAAAAACCAGCAATAATAAAAATTAACATTACTTGCATTAATAATTATTAATTAGATTTAGGAAACTCTTTTTTAATGCGCTTAAAAAACAGAGAATGAAGCATTCTTTAACAGAAAGGTTCTTCAAAATGTTTTATTCTATGTTTTTCAGCCAGTGCAATTTCCTTGACTTTTAAAATATCACTGATTAAAGAGAAATGCAATTATCTAATATTTTGCAATACAAATTAATTTTTTGTGTTGCAGTGGTTCATCAGTCTTGGGAAATACAGACAATAAACCTGTGGGCATAAATTACCAATAATTGCTCGGTAATTTTAAAATTTCTTCAGAAACTGCCATGAATCACTGAAAGGGGATTGCCTTTTAGAAAGATATATAGAGTAATTCACTTGCAACCACTCAGATGTAATCTAGAAGTTTTCAATTGATATAAATTAATTTTAAGTACGGTAACATCTCTGAATTGTTTTTGTAGCCAGTTTTTTATGACTCACCAAAAGAGATTTGAAGGAATTCTGTTCCATGAAGAGTTCAGGATGATTCATCTAGCCGAGCTCCTAACCTCCTCCTAGTATTTCTTGAGGCTGTTGCACTTGATATAGGGATGTCGTAGACCTGGGAGAGGTTCCTTTGATTTAAACGTGCTTTGGATGTTGTTAATAGTCATGATTGCTGACAACTTACAAATAGTGGTTTTGCTGCTCTTCTTTGTGACAGATTTGTCTACAAACTATATTCAGCAGAATTTTTTTCTTCAACTGCCCTCTCAGTGGAAGAGCATGCATACATGCATACATACATACATACATACACATATATCTTGAATATTAGAGCATGATTGTGTTGTGCTTTATTCTAGATTGATCTTCAGACATTCCTCACTCTAACAGATCAGGATCTGAAAGAGCTTGGAATTACTACTTTTGGTGCACGAAGGAAAATGCTGCTGGCAATCTCAGGTAAAGGAAAATCATGATGTTGTGTAGTTTGTAAGGATCCCCTTTTCCCCCTCTTTTCCTTGACTGAGTTATTCTCATACATAGAATGCCGAACGTCTGTTTTCAGAAACTCAACGTATTCCTGCGTATAGTAATATTCTTGTCCGTCCCTCCACTGCCAGCCTTAACCTCTCTGTTCTCATAAGTCCACTCGTGTGTCTGTTCAACATGAGATCCATTGATTTCAACGGGAGTTACTTCTGATAAGTGAGCGTAGGAGCCGTGCCGAGTATGGGCTACCATAAGACTGGCACCAGGAGCTTCATGATGCCCGATTGCTGCCCTGATATTAACGTCTATAATGGTCTGTAGTCAGGGATGTGCAAAACCCCCAAACGGGCCATCTCTTGATCGGCTCTCCCTTGAAGAAGCTGCTTTAGAAAGGCCGGCTGCGTCTCTCTTAAATAAGCAGCCTGATGCCTCGCTCACTTTCAACCTGCAGTTATCTAAAACTCTGGATGAGTCCTGACGGATCTATCGCTTGCTCCTACCCAAATCCACCCGGCGTGGTTTTATGTCTCGTGGGGGCATGCCTGCATTCATTGGGTTCGCATTTTCACTGGACTACAAAATAATAGAAATGTTTTCCATTTGGTTGCCAGATTTTAAATGGAAGCTTTTCTCCCCTCCCCTC